TTCTGAGGCGATATCACTACAGAAGTAGACCACCCAACCTTCCTTCTGAGGAGTGGTTGGTGGGTTTGGACAACCAGCCTTCTGGTTAGCAGTCAAGTGCCTTAGACATTATACTACCAGAGATCCTTTCTGGTCATTAATGTTCAGTGTATCAAATCTGTTCTTTTAATGGGCCCTATATTCAGGAGGAATGTAATCAAGGTCATATTTTGGCTCTCATGGACTTGTTTTAACTGTTCTCAACTTCAGCTTGAACTTGCATATGAGCAGCTGATGGTCTGTTCCAGTCAACTCCTGGCCTGGTTTTGGCTGAAAATACTGAGCTTCCCCATCTCCTCTTGCCACAGATGTAGTCAGTCTGATTCCCATGTACTCCCTCTGGTGAACAGTGCAACAATGCAACACACTGGCATCGAGTCGGATCTGACTTATAGCGAACCCTCCTTGGGTTTCTGAGGTGGTATCACTATGGAAGTAGATTGTCCAGTCTTCTTTCTGAGCAGTCATATGCCTTAGGCACTACACCACCAGAGCTCCCATCTGGTGAAGCCCACGTGTATAGCCACCATTTGTGTTGTTGAAAAAAGATACTGCAATGCATAAGTCGTTGGTCTTGCAAAATTCTATGCAATCTCCAGTGTTATTTCTATCACCAAGTCCATGTTTTCCAACTACTGGTAATTCTTTGTTTCCAACTTCTGCATTCCAGTTGCCAGTGATAGTCAACACATCCTGATTGCATGTTTGGTCAATTTCAGGCTGCAGAAGTTGGTAAAAATCTTCAGTTTCTTCATCTTTGGCTTTGGTGGTTGGTGTGTAAATATGAATAATAGTAGTACTAACTAGCCTGCTTTGTAGGTGTGTGAATATTATCCTATCCCTGAAAGCATTGCACTTCAGGATAGATCTTGAAACATTCTTTGTGATGATGAATGCTGCACCATTCCTCTTCAATTTCCATTCCCAGCATAGTAGTTCATATGGCTGTCTGATTCTAAATGACCAAAACCAGTCCATTTCACCTCACTAATGCCTAGGATATCCATCTTTATGCGTTCCATTTCCTTTTTGACAACTTCCAATTTTCCTAGATTCATACTTCGTACATTCCATGTTCCAATTATTAATGGATGTTTGCAGCTGTTTCTTCTCAAGTTGAGTCATGCCACATCAGCAAGTGGAGGTCCCAAAAGCTTTACTCTATCCACATCACTAAGGCTAGCTCTACTAAGGAGGCAGCTCTTCCCCAGTCATATCTTGAGTGCCCTCTGACCTGAGGGGCTCAGCAGCCGGCACTGCTTCGGAAAGTGTTTCAGGGTTGTTCATAAAGTTTTACAGCATTGTATCAGACAGTGTTTCACTGCTATTCATAAGATTTTCCCTGGCCAACTGTTTGAGAAGTGGGTGGCCTCTTCCTTCTTCCGAGTCTGTCTTAGTCTGGAAGCTCTGCTGAAACCTGTCTACCCTGGGTAACCCTGCTGGCACTCAAAACACCAGTGACATAGATTCTAGCCTCATAGCAACATGCAGGGCACCACAAGATGACAAACTGACAGACAAGTTTGTCTCCCTTAGCTTTTCCAAACCACTTCGTTCGCTTCTTGGTCTCCCTTAGCTGTTCCAAACTGCCACTGGTTCACTTCCTGGTCTCCTTTAGCTGTTCCAAACCACCACTGGCTTGCTTCCTGGTCTCCCTTAGGTGTTCCAAACTGCCACTGGCTCACTTCCTGATCTCCCTTAGATCCTACGGAGCTTTATAAGTCATTGCAAGAACTTGAGCTTTTTCAAAACGAAGAATGACAGGAAGGCAATGGAGGGTTTTGAGCTGAGGAGTGAAGTAATCTCACATTTTACCAGGCTAACTCTTGGGGATATATGGAAACAGGGTGTAGGGGGCAAGGGAGATCAGTTAGGCTATTTCAGTAACCCAGGCAAGAAATGATGGCTGCTTGAAGCAGGGTGGCAGCAGTGGAAATGTTGAGAAATAGTTGGATTTGGATATAATGGGAAGGTCAGAGCTGATAGGATTTGCTGATGAATTGGATAGAGTGTAATAGGAAGAGAGGAGTCATGATGGCCCAAGATCTATACATTTAGAAGGATGGAATTGTCAGTTCCTGGAGTGAGGAAGAGTGCAGGTAGAACAGTTTGGAGTGAAAGAAGACCAAAATATGCTAAGTTTGAAGTAGATTTTAGGAAAAGGCTATACAACTTTATAATAAATGAAAAAACAGCATCAGGAACATCAGTAAGTTACTTTGCCTATGTAGGCCTCCACTTCTTCCTTTGTAAAAGATTAGACTGAATTTATTAAAATCCCACATAACTCTGTGATTTTATTTTTTGTTTCAGTGCTTTTCAGAATATTGCTGATCATAATGCCTTTTCAGATTACTATAACTGCATTGTAGAAAATGAAATATTTTGTGATGATGATATTTGATATTTAATATGCATTACAGATTTATTATAAACATTGGCACTAAAATCTTCATTTCTGGAATGTATGGCAAAAGCAAATAAACTGAGGCAATCTCCATTGCTTGTAGTTCTATTGCCTATTATTTTAAATAGTGGAGGATGTCATTTCCCCCCAAAGAATTCAATATGCTTTATAGTATTGTACTAAAATTACATTTTCACTGAATTTAAACCTTGTTAGAAGTGCGAGTTACATGGTAGGCACTCAAGATAGGTTTGTGGAATGAATAGATCAATTAATGAATGAAAATGCTATAATTTCTTTTGGGTAAATTACCTTTTAATATAGAGTTTGGATTTGATTTAGTGCCTTGTTTAAAACTCTGCCATTTCTTGGGTTTAAACCAAACCAAACTCACTGCCAACCCTACAGGACAGAGTAGAACTGCCCATAGGGCTTCCAAGGCTGCTAATCTTTATGGAAGCAGATTGCCACATCTTTATCCCACAGAGCAGCTGGTGGTAGGTTCAAACTACCAACCTTTTAGTTAGCAGCCAAGTACTTAATCACTATACTACCAGGCCTCCCTCTTTGGTTTACATGGTAGTATATGTAATTCATGGGAGCTCTGGTAGTGTAGTGCCTAAGGCACTTGACTGCTAACCAGAAGGCTGGCAGTTCAAACCCACCAGCCACTCCTCGGAAGGAAGGTTGGGCAATCTGCTTCCATAGTAATACCGCCTCGGAAACCCAAGGAGGGGTTGCTATGAGTCGGGTCCGACTTGATGGCACATAATAACAACAACAACAATAACAACAACATATGTAATTCATATTGCTTAAGAAAGAATGAATGGTTCTAAGAGTGACTAGTTGATTTACTCTGTCATCACAAACCTGGTAGAGAAGCAATCCAGCCTTATCATTATCATCCTCAAATGCACAGTTGCAAGTCTGTGCTCAGACATCATTGTATACAATGCTCTGAGGAATACTTGGGCAGCCATAACCTCTGTTACTTCAGTATCTGGAGCTGTGATACACATAAAAGGTTTGAGGAGTGTTCTGGGTTCAATGAACATGTGGTAAATATTGCTGTCTAAAATATAATCTTACCTGCTAAATGACATACTATCCAGAATATCTTAGAATCTCTCTTTGTATACACTTTCATTTATTCATGTCTCTAAAAGAGGAGGGTTGGTCAGCTCTAGGCATCTTTTGAAGTTCGTGTTGACTAAAGACAATGAGTCTCATTCCACTGTATATTTCCAGTCCAGCTCCAGACATCCCTCTGAACTCCTCAGTAGTGAAAATTGTCCTACATTTTACTATTTTAATTGAACAGGATATAAACAAGTTCACTTATGTAGGCAGCCACATAGATCAAAGGTTCCTAAGCCACTTTGAAAGTTGCCTGGGACATGTGCTTGTTTTAAAAGTTTTTACTTTAAAGTTTTTCCCCCAAATTTTTTATTATCAAAATTAAAAAATCTGCAGAAAAAGTGGAAGAATAGCCCAATCAATACTCACATATCCCTTGTGAGAGATTTGCCAGTTGTTAATATTTTGCCCCACTCACTTTCTGTTTTCTTTCCTTCCTTCCTTCCATCCTTCTATCCATCCACCCATCCATCTATTCATCTTGATGTTTCCACGAGGGCCATACTGACTGGTGTGGGAGAAAGATATGGTAGTCTGCTTCCATAAAGATTACAGCCTTGGAAATCCTATAGGGTAGTTCTACTCTTCCCTACATGGTCACTATGAGTTAAAATTGACTCTACAGTAATGGGTTTGTTTTTTGGTTTATCCTGATTGGTGGCAGTTTACCACACTGTAAAAGAATGGGCTGCATGTTTCCTGCCCTTGGTATTTCACTGTGCTGTGAAACTGCACTAAGCTAATTTAGAATGTCCTTATGAAAAGAAAGCCTTTGATGCCATACCACCTCCCCATGACCCTAGCCATTGCCAGTCTGATACAGACTTTTCTGTGCAGGGCATATCTATCTTAATTTACTTTTTGATTGTTGACTAGTGGTCAACAAAGCAAAACTAACAAAACCATCCTGAGAATTAAGTGGCCAACAAATATTAGGGTGCAGTACCTAATTAATAGAAGATAATTTTCAGCTCAGATATTTGAAACTGAGTCCAACAATGCTATATCTCACAGTTTCTTTTCTGTAAGGTCAGACATCAAGTGCTGTTTATATCCTGTTCTTGGGTTTCCATTTCATGCAGTTATCAAGATTTGAATTTGATGCCAATTGTGGACACTGTCCCCCTTGAGAACTAAAAAAACACACAGTTTATTATTTGGTTCAAAGCTGCTGCAGTGTTTCAGAGGGATTTATTGTGTAGATCTTGTCAAAGCAATACTGTTTACCAGCCATTTGTGTGCAGAAGTACAACAGCACAAGTGTGGTTGGGACTACAGGGCAGACATTGTGTTAAGTTAGGTAAGCCCAGTGATGTAAATATGGGGTAATTTAGAAAGCAGATAAACAAGATTTATTAATCCAGTAGTGTTTGAAGGCTCAGCCCTGAAATAATGATCATTTTACCATTTGCAGATTTCGAAGAATTTTTGATCAGGATATAAAACAAGAGACCATTTTTGAAAGCATTGCCAAACCTGTGGCTGAAAGGTATGATTTCCCACGTTTTGTTCATTGGGTTAGGGAGTTGTCATCTTGTCTTCAATTTTCAAATAATTGTGGTAATGTGCATCAGTGTATCAATTGTATACTCAGGCTGCCATGCATGTAATGGTGACAGTGTTGATATTTCTATTCATATAACCTTTGACTGTTTCACACATGATTCACTTACATTTAGATTCTGAGCCTCAAAACCAACTAGTGAAATAGACAGAATAGCTATTATCACTCCCATTTTAAAAGATCATGTAAACAGGACATCAGAGATTGTGTGACACTGTTCAGTGTTGTGGGTCTATTGGTGGTAGAGTCTTAGATGGCTTTCTAACAGTTGAGACCAGCGCTCTTTCCTGAGTACAATATTCCAAAGATGGTTAGATGGTGAAGGATAAGGTAAGCACCTGGGAAGCTTAATGATGGTTGGTCCAGGGTGTCTCTACCTCAGAGTAATAACTAATTGGCTCTTGGCGTCATAGGTCCCTTTTGTTTCTTTATAACCAGATAGTTCCAGGCTGCTGACTATTAGAACCAAACTCACTTGAGAATAAGAAATAAACCAGAATGCCAATTTACTAATATATAAAGGCAAAGTTCCCTAGGAGCAGACACTCAAGCCTTTTGATAAACTAACTCTGCTCTTGTAGGGAGTCTACATGGAAAGTCCCACTAATAATAAATGGTCCTAGAAATATTTGAATGATTTTAGTGACCTAATAACCTCCAGATATAATCATCTTCATAAAAAAAAGTATCTGCAAAATAAATCCATTTTTCAAGTCTACTAATCAATATAGGGAGCTCTGGTAGTGCAGTGGTTAAAGCATGGGGCTGCTAATGAAAAGGTTGGGTTCAAACCACTAGCCACTCCTTTGGAGATGAGGCATTCTGCTTCTGTAAAGATGCACAGCCTTGGAACAGTTCTACTCTGTGCTGTAGAGTCACAAATGAGTCAGAATCGACTTGATGGGGGAGTGGGTTTAGCTTTTTAGTTTTTTCTTTAATGAATATATCCTTTCCCTTGGACATTGTTAAAAACACACTGCTACATTTTGACTCTCATACTATAGTTTTATGAATTTTACTTATACCAAACCTTTCTCTTTTAGCAGTTTTTACACTGGATAAAATACAATCAAGTAGGCTTGTACTATTTTAGTTATATTTACAATCCAATAAACTCACAAACCTCTTAAGTTAAATCCTGGTCTCCTTGACTGGACATGAGACATTTCTAAAATTCCCTTCCCTTTAGTAATCATTTGAGTTATGTCATTTTTGCGGCTAGCTGGTCTCGTTTTATTTGGAAACTTCCTAAAGTCTTTCAGGTAGGGAACCTTCCTTTCTGTTTTCCATTGCCTGGTTTTTCTTTCCATCATTGCTTGTCTCCCATCTTGATCCCACTTCCCCCTCAAGCTACCATCTTTTACTGCCTCAGTTCCTCTTGAACCTTGCTCTTGTAGGTTTGGGCCCACCACTCCACTGAAACTGTTTTTGTCAAAGTCAGCTGTGGCTTCCATTTGCTAAATCCAATACTGGTCATTTCTCAGTGTTTGTGTTATTTGATATGCCAGCTATTTTGACACAATCGATTACTCTGTCCTCCTTGAAACACACTTCCTTCACTTGTCTTCTGGGACGCTGTCCTTGTTTTTCACTTACTTTACTAGCAACTCCTTCTCAGTTAATTTACTTGGTTTTAATTGTGTGTACTAACCATTTACTCTTGCTGTTCCCTCTGCCTGGAATTTTCTTCCTTCAGAAATCTGTAAGGTTGCTTCTTCATGCAACTATGAGGTTTTTGGTCACATGTCACCTTCTCAGTAAAGCCTTCATTTTCTATCCTGTTTAAAATTTCAGCCTGTCATACTTCCCTGTTTTATTTTTCTCTAGCATTCATCACCATTCGACCTGCTATGTAGTTTGACAATTAATTAGTTTTTGTCTGTTTTTCCTCCTCTACTAAAATAAAAGCTCCAGGAAAACAGGGGACAATTAATTAGTTTTTGTCTATTTTTCCTCCTCCACTAAAACAAAAGCTCCAAGAAGACAGGGGATTTATTTTGTTCACTGGCTAGACAAAGACACCCACCTCATTGATGGCAAGTACAATGTCACTATATTCACAAGGTCTTAGTGAAGGACCATTTGGAGCAGAACATAGATCAAACACTTCGAATGGGGTGATCAACAGGTGTTTAACACTTACAGAGTAAACAGGACAGGGATGAGGAGAACAACACACATCATTATCAGCCTAGGTTCACTGAAGTTAGGCTCCTGTCCACAGGGCTAGATAGCATCCAAGCATGTCCCGCTTCATGTCTTGGAGGAGAATGCCTAAATTCTTCTCTTGCAGGATTAAATACTAATCAGGTGGCCATGTCTACATGCTAAATAGCATTTAGAGAGAATAGGTAGGGGGATAGGTGATAAACTAAAAAAACCAAACTCACTGCCATCGAGTTGATTCCGACTCATAGCGACCTCCTTTGGGTTTCTGAGGTGGTAAATCTTTACAGAAGTATATTGCCCAGTCTTCCTTCCACAGAGTGGCTGGTGAATTTAAACCACCAACCTTCTAGTTAGCAGTCAAATGCCTTAGGCACTACACCACCAGAGCTCCTTAGGGGTAGGTGATAAAAGATGGTAATAAAAGGAAACAAAACAAAACAAAACAAAAAATGTTGTGTCCTGGAGGAAGTGCAGCCATAATGCTCCTTGGAAGCCAGAATGGCCAGACTTCATCTCACTTACTTTGGTCATGTTATCAGAAGGGACCATTCTCTGGAGAAGGATGTCATGCTTTGTAAAGTGGAGGGTCAGCGAAAGAGGTGAAGGCCCTCAACAAGATGAATTGACATGGTGGCTGCAGCAATGGGCTCAGGTATAGTAGGGATCGTGAGGCTGGCATAGGACTGGGCAGTGTTTTGTTCTGTTGTATATAAGGTCTCTAAGAGTTGGAGATGACTCCATGACAAATAACAACAACAGCAAGTGTTGAGGCCATTCCAACTCATATAACAATCTTATAGGACAAAGTAGAGCTGCCCCATATGGTTTCCAAAAGCTATAAATCTTTATGGAAGCAAGCTGCCACATCTTACTCCCATGGAGTGGCTGGTGGGTTTGAACTGCTGACCTTTCAGTTAGCAGACAAGCAATTAACCACTGTGCCACCAAGACTCCTTAATAAAAGGTAAAATGTGGTAATAAAAGTGGAAGACTCCTTTCAGGAAATGAATATTATTTATTGCTCCTGTTCAGAGTGGGCTGGATTTACTGGTGTCAGGGAACAGCCTTCCAGGATCCTTTAGCTCACTAAGGTAGAATTCTGGGTTTCTTCAGAGGGCAATCATCTCCTCCTAAAGCACATATTTTACTTTATGTCCATTTGTAGTTTTTATGTCCTTTAGCCATTAGAGAGATGGTTGAGGGGGCAATTATAATATAGCAAACCTGTGCATCTAGCAACAAAATTTCAGATATTAAAGGCAGTAGCATTTTTGTCCCAGCAGCTCAAGTTGATCTTACTGGGCATATCTTTCATCGATAGGATGTATTCCTCATTGTCTTTTTCAATGATTTTTCTCCTTGAATTCCATTTTCCTTGAAATTATTTGTGCTGTTTCATTTTCTTTTCTGTTAGCCTGATCTGGTTTATTGTTCTGCATCTCTTACTTAAACTGCCCTGATAATTTTTTAAAGTATGCACCTGGTAAATAGAATATAGCTGGGTTTTGCCTTTTTAGCCTAAGCTAGATTCCTTGATCTTTATTACTGGTGACTTTAAACTGTTTACAATTATTATGATTTCTAATAAGTCAAAACAGTGTGGAGCTGTTCTGCCTATCTTATGTTTTTCCAGTCATCATACCAAAAAAAAAAAAAAAAAAAAAAA